TAACTGAGTTCTTTCGGTAATGATGAAAAAGCTGAGAATTGCTGGGTTCTTTGCACCATTAACTTTTCTAACATATCTTTGTAATAAAAGATTAAAGCCTTCAATACACTGCGCCAACTATGGAGAAAAATATAGCACAGATAGTGCGGGTATGTGTGGAGTAAAAAAATGACTGCTCTATTAACGAGATGTTTGTTTTTTGCAATCCCTGTGAGCACGCTGAATTGCATCAGCAAAAGCGCGCGCAAAAACTGTGTTCAGCCACCCTAAAGATCAACAGTTATCTTCAGTACTTGCCAAGCAAGCTAAAATAATAAACAAGTAAATGCCTCTGTATTAATTTCTACTAATTTACGCTGCACCTAAGGTACCTTTTGTTTTTTCATATTTCATGTCTCCTTTTTTCATCTTTGTTGATTTTTGATTTGATTGCTTTGTTTTGTTTTTTAATAACTTCCCAGACTAGTTGTGTTTCTTCTTTTCTTCATGGCAGTTGGCTGAGCCATTTGTTACAATCTCACCATTTGCCTCACTTGGTTTCTGTTCCTTAAACTTCTTGGCAATATAGGCCTGAACATAGAAATTTGAGAAGAGAACGAGGAAAGAGATCATGTAGCCAATCAAGGCATACTGCATCCACAGGGGGTAGTCACACTTGACGCGAAGTGATACAACACCATGGCACAGAAGAGCACAGAACTGGATCTATAAACCACCATAAAACAAAATAATACTAAAAAATCAGTGAAAATGTCATGAAATTTAATTTTGCTTATCATATCCAGGGTTTCGATCAAGAAATGTTGTAGCAGGTGAGTACTGTCAAGTAACACGAGAACAATCTCCACCTCTGTAGAAAATATAGCTTGTGCAATGGAAATTTAGCTGGAGAATTCTTTGTAGTAGCCAGAAAATTCCTGAACTCCAAATGCTTAACCCTTTAAACCCCAAGGATTTACCAACATATGATTTCTCTTTAGAGTAAAACTACTGAATCATTCATTAAGATAATGACAATAAAGGAAATGATCACCAACCGAAGAAGCTTTGATTATTAAACAAATTCTCTTATCAGAGGAAATGTATAAAGAATAGTGTGGAGAATAAGCATACTGATGTATGGATGTAAAGGGTTTCTAACTTGATGATGATGATGATGAACTTTACTTATGTGTCAATTATAAAATAGCAGTAAAAAAAACCACTAAGTAAGGACACAACAGGATAGTTTAAATAAAATAATAAATAACTAATTATTAATATACGATTAAATAGCATAAAATATTTGAATAAATAGCATAAAATTTGTGGTCAGCAGAATTAGGCTA